TTTTGGCGGCCGTTTCGTACTACAACTCTAAATAAACTGTCACTTCTCTGTAGATTAAAGCGCAGAGGATGGAGAATAAACACTAGAAAAATTCAAAAAAAAAAATTTGGTACCTGAGAAGTCAACGACAACGACCTGCTCAACATTCAAATCGTCGAGCAACCGTTTCGGCAAATGCAAAAGGCGATTACGATTGAGGTAGAAACGATTTAAAGGCAATCCACTGAGTGCTCTACCATGCACCTAAATTATCAACATTCACTGCCACTAAAATTATCAATATTACAATCATAATCATCGTTGTCACTAACATTATCATTATTTTTCATCTTTTTTATTGCCATCATCTATTATCATCAACAACATCAGACATCAAGTTCAACTCTAGCAACTTTAGCACTGCAAGCATTAATAAATAGCAACGCGCATCAGACTAGCCGGTACGGTCATGCGTTTTGTGCAGTTCAGCCCAACGAATGATTGCCTATTAATAATTTCCTGCTTTGTACTTTAGTCTATGCAAAAACAATTCAAACATTGGAAAACAGTCAGAAATTTCACGCACCTGCGCATGAAAGCTGAATTCGAAACCTTGAATATCTTTCCGTGATTCCCGAGTTAATAGTTTATCCGCCAAAATTTTCACAAGGCCGTAGGTGATACTCAAGAGCGCAGAAGCGCTGAATTTGAGTAAGCAAGGTTGAGCGTGGGTAGGGGTCATTACCTTAAAATTTCAGCTTTCTAGACTCCGTGGTCCCCGAGATAATAATTTACCCGCAAAAACTTTCATTAGCCCGTAGGTGGTACCCAAGAGCACGGGAACGCTGAATTTGAATGGGCCTGGTTGAGCGTGGACAGGGGGGATCATTACCCTAAAATTTCAGCTTCCTAGACTCCGTGGTTCCCGAGATAATTTACCCGTCAAAAATTTTCAAAGGGCCGTACGTGTTACCCGCGGGTACAAGAAGGTTGAATTGGAGCTTTCTAGGTCGCAAGTGGTCAGGCGACGTACACATAAAATTTTAGCTTCTTAGCTCCCGTAGTTCCCGAGATACTGATTTTACCCGAAAAACTATTACCGGGCCGTACGTGTTACCCGCAGGTACGGGAAGGCTGAATTTAAATTTGCCGCGTCACCCGCTGGCCTGGAACACCATACCAAAATTTCAGCCGCCTAGCTTGTGTAGTTCCCGTGTTGAAAGTGCGGGGCAAAATGTGGGACACACACACAAACACACACACACACACACA